ACACACACACACACACACACACACACATACACACACATGTGTATACGCCTACGCATAAATGCACACGAACACATACACATTCTGTCAAAAATCCATAACATCTTATGATGACGACGCTGACGATGACCAAGATAATGACATTAATAACAATGAAAACCACAAAATGCAATAAAATAATGTGTCAACATGTCTCACCCTGGCCTTTAGCATCATAACCAACATGAAAATCAACACGGGCAGGTGTATAAAGAGGAGAAGTCCCAGGTAGAGGCCCGCTGCCCAGTACACCTCGTCCACGAAGTTAGTGACCACAGCCAAGCAGGTGTTTATCGTAGCCACCACGAGGACCATCAAGGCGCCTAGCCGGGCGAAGAAATCGCCTGCACGGGCAGCCACAGCACCACCTTGTTGTCTGTTGGGATGATGAGTGGTGAGAGAGAGAGTGGAATGGTGAGTGGTGAGAGTGAGTGGAATGGTGAGTGGTGAGAGTGAGTGGGGTGGTGAATGGTGAGAGAGAGTGGGATGGTGAGTGGTGAGAATGAGTGGGATGGTAAGTGGGAATGGAGTGAGAGTGGGGTAGTGAATGGCGAGAGTGAGTGGGATCGTCTTCTTCTTCTTCTCGATCGCATCACACTTGAAGTCCGGTATCTGTAATAAATTGGGCCGTCCTGCTCAGTTCATCTGTCGGCTCGTATAGCTTCTCTTGTAGCGTCAGTGGGGTTGGCCACGTTTCCTTGCGGTGTTTGATCTCGTTGTTCTCGTGTGCAGTATATGATCCTCCATAGCTGTGGCCTTGGTGTACTGTATGAGGGCCTTGCATTCCCATCTCCTCTGCAGGGCCACTATAGATGTTGTTTGTTCCATCTTTTCTATAGGCGTTGACCTCATCGCTCCAGTGATTATTCGGAGAGCCTGGTTTTGCACTTTTTCCAGAGTGTATATGTGAGTCTGTGCTGCAGTCATCCATGCACTGGATCCGTACTCGAGATGGGGCCTGATTGCGCCCAGATAGACCTGTCTAAGTGTTTTCTCATTTGCTCCCCACTGAGTCCCTGCTAGTTTTCTCATGATGTTAAGTTTCTTCCTGGCTTTATTTTCT